CCCCCTCCAATTAAACGGCCCCCCAAAATATCTCCCCTGAGACTTTTGGGACCCGAAACACCTCCCACCAGTTGCTCCTCTACTCCAATAACCCCACCTGAAATTACCCTTCCCCAAATGCGTTTGGGAGCTGGGACCCCCCCCAAATCAATTCTCTCCCCAGATGCCGCCTCAGGTTGGTGACCCCCCCCTTGCATGACCCCCGGGGGGGGCTCGGCATCGCCCCCCCCTCAAATTAACCAGCTAAGTACTCCCCCAACGTCCCCATCCSCGCATGGACCCCTCCCCCTAAAAATCACTCACCCCCTCACCCTGCTTTTCTTTTGCATGCCCCCCCCCTTCTGTATCCGTCCTTGTCGTGTCTGTGCCCCCCCTTTTCTTCGGCTTTTTTGGGGCCCCCCTCAGGATTCCCGGGAAATTGGGGCGCTCCGAGAGCCTCCGGGTGCCCGAGCGACGCCGATCCCAAAGGTTGGGGGGGGGGCGCCAGGGCCCCCCGCGCTCCCGCAGCAACGTCGACCTGCAGGGACCCCCCCCCACGTAGGTCGGGGGGGTCTTGGGGGATAGATGCCCCCCGCCCATTCGGGATTTTGGGGAGTGGGTGTCACTACAGGAAACAGCCGCGGGGTTTTTAGTGGAAGGGTTCTCTCCAGGCCAACACCCGTGGGATTTTGAGTGGGGCAGCGTGTCCCTTCAGAACCCCTCCCGTGGGACTGGGGGCACCCAGGACCGCCCCGGATTCCCTGACCCCCTCCCCTTTTTGCTGCCCCCAGCCTGGAGCCGGGGGGGCCCGGCGGGGGCGACCCCCCGCCCTTTCTGCCTCGGCAGCCTGAGGAGGCTGTGCCGCGCCTGGAGCCGGAGCTGGAGCAGGAGCCGCCGGCCTGGCGGGAGCTCGCGGCCCCCGACGCCCTCCTCAGGCTGCCCCAGCGCGAAGTGCGGCGCCAGGAGGTCATCAACGGTGAGGGGGACCCCAAAAATGGACTTGGCACCCCTAAACGCCCCATGGGCCACCCCAGAACCTCCCCAGACAGCCACTAACCCACCAGGACCCTGGAACACCCCCAAATCTCGCTCCTGGTTGTCACGGGCAAGGTGCAGAGCCAAGGATTCATCAATGGAGAGGGGAGCCCCAAAACTGGGAACCCCTAAAAATCAACTCGGCACCCCCTGGGGTCCCCCCAAACACCTCCAAGACCCCCCAAATGCCCCTGAGAGCTGCTCCTGCCAGAGCTGTGGGAGCTGCTGGAGCTCCCTGAATCTCCCCCAGGATGCCCCAAAATCCTTTTCAGATTTCCCCCAAATCCCTCAGAACCCCCCAAAACCGCCCAAACCCCAGTCCCCCATTCCAGAGCTGTTCCTGTCAGAGCACACCCACATGCAGATACTGAGGGTGCTCCTGGAACTCCCCAAATCCCGCCCCCCCAAATCCCTCTGAGATCCCCACAAACCCCATCAGGGACCCCTCAAAGTCCCCCAGGACCCCCGGACCCTCCCCATTTCAGAGCTGTTCCTGACGGAGCATGCCCACGTGCGGATGCTGCGGGTGCTGCTGGAGCTCTTCTACCAGCCCATGCTCCGCGAGGGGTTCTTCGACGAGCAGGAGCTCTCCAACATCTTCCCGAGCCTCGAGGACCTCGTGGAAGTTCACAGTGAGTCGGGGAGGCCTCGGGGGGGCCTCTCCGGGGGGGAAATTGGGGCGTTTTTCTGAGGGGCTATAACCCTTCCTTGTCCTGCCCCAGCCTTGTTCCTCGACAGCCTCAAGAAGCTGCGGGAGGAGAGCGGCTTCATCATCACCGAGATTGGGGATGTGCTGCTGGCCAGGGTGGGTTTTTGGGGGGATTTCGGGGGCCTTCGGGGGGTTGGGGGTGTCTTGGGGACAAAAGGAGGGGGATCCCTGGGGGAGTCATCCCGAGGGGTCTTGAGTTCATCATTGGCGAGAGAGACGATGTGCTGCTGGTCGAGGGGAGATTGGGGGATTTAGGGGGTCTGGGGCCTTGCAGGGGACTCAAGGGGGTTTGGGGGAGTTTAGGGGGGTCTCGGGCTGGAATTGGAGGGGATCGGGAGGGGCCTCTCTGAGTCTGGGGCTCCTTGTGAGGTCGGGGGCCTTGTGTTTGAGTCTGGGGTCCGTTGGTGATTTTGGATGGGGTCTCACACATGTTCTGGGGGTACCCTAATGATTTGGGGATTCCCCAACAATTTTGTGGGTCTCACTGATGATTTTGGAATSCCCCCGGGATTTGGGGGGCCCCTTCACCCCCCCAGTTCGAGGGCACCGAGGGCAGTTGGTTCCAGAAGATCTCGGCGCGCTTCTGCAGCCGCCAGAGCTTTGCCCTAGAACAGCTCAAAGCCAAGCAGAGGAAGGACACCAGGTTCAATCAGTTCATCCAGGTACCCCAAACCCCCTGGGATACCCCAAAATTACCTGGGCGCACCCCATAACATTGGGGGGGTGGGTTAAGGGGGGGATTTTGGGGGTCAGAGCAAGGACATGAGTTYGGATCAGTTCACCCAGGTATCCCAAACACCCTGTGTGACACAAAAAACATCCCTGAGAACCCCCAGAAATACCCCTGGGGGGCCACAAAAAAATTCTAAACACCCCAAAATATTTAGGGGTAGTGAGGGGGTATTTTAGGGGTGGTTTGAGGGGGGGCAGAGGGGACTTGGGGTGGTCAGCTCAGGGACACAAGATTTGATAAGTTCATCGAGGTGCCCCAAAAACACCTCCTGGGACCCCCAAAAACACCCTCTAGGGGACCCCAAAGCGCTTTGGGACACCCCCAAAAGCCATCTGGGACCCTCCAGGAGGCCGAGAGCCGCCCCCGGTGCCGGCGGCTGCAGCTCAAGGACATCATTCCCACGGAGATGCAGAGGCTCACCAAGTACCCCCTGCTGCTGCTCAGCATCACCAAATGCACAGGCAAGGGATCCCAAAACCCCCCTGAACCCCCAAAAAACCCTGAACCCCGGAAAAACCCAATTGCAAACCCACATTCCCCCCCAGAAGCCGCAGCTGAGCGGGCCAAGGTGGAGCAGGCGGCCGAGTGCTGCCGCCAGATCCTCAACCACGTCAACCAGGAGGTCCGRGACATGGAGAACCTCATGGTAGGACCCCCCAAAATCCCCCTCTGCAGGGCCCCAAAATCCCCCCAGGATGTCCCAAAAGCCCTCCTTGCCCCTGCAGAAGCTCAAGGATTACCAGCGGCGCCTCGACCTCTCCAACCTGAAGCAGAGCACAGACCCTCTGCTGAGCGAGTTCAAGGTGAGGGGGGGTCCCAGGACCCCCAAGCCCCCCAAGTCTGGACCCTTCCCAAATTCATSCCACCCCTGAATCCTCACCCAGTTCCCCCGACCTCCCTAAGTTTCCCCACTATGATAATGTCAGATGTCCCTGATGCCCACAAATGCTGTCCCAACCCCTCCAATTCCTGCCAAATCCTCCCAGATTCCCCCAAAACCCCCTCCAAATTCTGCCAAATCCCCTCCCACAACTCTCCAAACTCCTCTGACACCCCACAAAGCTCCCCAAGYCCCCCCAGCCCCCCCCCCCGGTGTCACCAAGCACAACCTGGTTCATGGTGACACCCCAGTCACCCCCAAACCTGCCCCAAACCACTCCCAAATGCCTCCAAACCTCTCCCTGCCCCCCACCAATCCCAAAATCCCCCGAAACCCCTAAAATCCCCCCAGAACACCGACATCACCAAGCGCACCCTGGTGCACGAGGGGCCCCTGACCTGGCGCGTCGCCCGCGACAAAGCCGTGGGTGAGCAGATTTCTGGGGGTGCCCGCGGGTCGGGGGGTGCCGGCGATCCCCCTACCGACCCCCGGATTTTGGGGACCCCCGCAGAGGTGCAGGTGCTGCTTTTGGACGATCTGCTGGTGCTGCTGCAGCGGCAGGAGGAGCGGCTGGTGCTGCGCTGCCACAGCCGGGCGCTGGCCCCGGCTCCCGACGGGAAGCAGATGCTGAGCCCCGTCATCCGCCTGCGCTCGGCCATGACCAGGGAGGTGGCCACAGGTCCGGGGGGCTTCCTTTKGGGGGGTCACCCCGAGTTTTGGGGCGCTCACCTCGGTTTGAGGGAGTTTGGTTTGGGAGAGCCCGGCTGGGTTCGGGCTCTTTTGGTGTCYCTCAGAGCTTGTTTTGGGGGATGTAGGAGACGGGTTTGGGGTGTGTAGAGGCTGCTTTGGGGTGTAGAGGTTGTTGGTGGGGTGCTCGCCTTGGTTCGGGTTTGCTCAACTCGGGTTTGGGGTGCAGAACTCAGTTTAGGGGGAGCCTGGTCTGGTTTGGGCTCACTGGGGTCACTTGCTGCTCATTTGGCTCAGTCCAGGCTTCTTTTCAGGACTTAGGAATGGTTGTGGGGCATTCTGGATTTGGTTTTGGGGTGTAGTAGTTGTTTTTGGGGTGCCCACCTCAGTTTTGGGATGTAGGAGTCGATTTTAGGAGCTGGGAGCTCACTCTGAGCCACTTAAGGCTCAGTGTTAGGGATCCTGATCTGTTTTCAGGGGGATCCCAGTATGGGAGTTCCCCAAACCCCCCTGACCTCCCAAATTTCTCTTTCCCCCCCAGACCACAAGGCCTTTTATGTCATCATCAGTTGGGAAAATGGGGCCCAAATTTATGAGCTGGTGGCTCAGAGCGTCTCCGAGAGGAAAAAGTGAGGGGGGGCATCTCTGGGAGGGCCCTGTGGGTGTCTGGGGGGTCCTGGGGTGGTTTGGGGGTGTGGGAGAGGGAGCTGGGGGGTCCCATGGAACACTTGCGGGAGTTGGGTGTTCCAGGAGGGGTTTGGAGGAGTCCTGGGAGGGTTTGAGGGGTTCTGATGGGAGGGCTGGGGGTCCTGGGGGACTTTGGGGGGTCCTGGGGGACTTTGGGGGGTCCTGGGGGTAATTTG